GAGTTGGAGGTGCTGGAGGTCCTGGTGCTAGAGACGCTAATGCTGGCGGTACTGGTGCACGTCGGCAGGAGACTCTCTCGCCCGAGCGGCTTCGTGAGTGGGCTGTCCGGTGGGGCAGCCCTGGTGGTGGAGCTAGCCGTGCTCGAGCTGGAGGCGCTGGGGCTACTAGAGCTGGAGGTGCTTATGTAAGTGGTACTGGAGTTGGAGGTGCTGCAGGTGCTGGTACTGGAGACGCAGATGCTGGTACTGGAGACGCAGGTGCTGGCGGTACTGGTGCACGTCGGCGGGAGACTCTCTCGCCGGAGCGGCTTCGCGAGTGGGCTATCCGGTGGGGCAGCCCTAGTGGTGGAGCTAGCCGTGCTAGAGATGGAGGTGCTAGAGCTGGAGGTGCTGGAGCTGGAGGTACTGGAGCTGTTGGTGCTGGAGGTATTGGAGCTGTTGGTGCAAGAGGTGCTGGAGCTGCTGGTGCTGGAGGTGCTAGAGCTGGAGGTGCTGGAGGTACTGGGGCTACTGGTGCTGGAGGTGCTAGAGCTGGAGGTACTAGAGGTGTTGGTGCTGGAGTTAGTGGGGCTGCTGGTGCTGGAGGTGCTGGAGCTGCTGGTGCTGGAGGTGCTGGAGCTGCTGACGGTATGGGTGCTGCGCCGCGCCGACCGTTTTTCTACCCTCAGCCGCAGTCGTCCCTACCACCGCCTGGCTTGGCACTTTGTCAGGTTCTTAGTCTTTCGTCTTCCACTGGCCTAACTCTACCTCTCCCGTGTCCTCCGCCTCACCAATCACAGCAGCAGTTCCAGCCTGGCTCCCCGCTACCTGCTCCTACTCCTTACTGCGCAGACAGACTCCCTGACAGAGCGTCGTGAGCCTGAGTCTCGTCCTGCCTCCCCTGTTCACACAGTCAGTCGTACTCATCGTCCTCGTCCTCCACCTGTCCCTGGCACGCACACGATGGCACTTCATCCTTCCTCTGTTCCACAACATGTTCCCCTGCCGTCTCCTTTGGCGTCCTCCCTCCCTGACGTTCCTGACCCCGAGTCCAATCTTGCTCGTGCTGCTAGTCCTATTGTCACTTGTCTCCTCGCTAGTGTTGTCACTGACCCTTCCTTTGAGTCTACTGCTTCGTTTGCCCTTGTCACCGAGCTAGTAGACTTTGCTGCTATGAGTCGTCTCGACTACGTCGCGAGTCTTGTTACTGAGTCTGAGTCTGTCTGTCCTCCGTTCGTGGGAGGTGAGCTTGCCCTTAGCTGTGACGTCCTTGAGGACAAACAGTTTGAGCTCGAGTGTCTCGCGATAGTTTTACCCTATTTGGCGTCCATGTTGCTTTGCCCCGAGGAAGTCCCGGATGCACTTGACATCCCCACCCCGCGCTCTTACGCAGAGGCGATCACGGGTGAGTACTCCTCTCAGTGGCAGACAGCCATGGACGCAGAGATGGCTTCCTGGAAATCTACAAGCACCTACGTCAACGAGGTTCCCCCTCCTGGGGCGAATATAGTCGATGGCATGTAAATTTTCAGAGTGAAGCGGCCGACGGGTTCTCCGCTTGCCTTCAAGGCGCGTTACGTTGCTCGAGGCTTCAGTCAGCAACATGGGGTCGACTTCTTCTAGACCTTCTCCCCCACCCCGAAGTTGACCACTCTTTGGGTGTTACTGCACGTTGCAGCACAGCGTGACTACGAGCTGCACTCCCTCGACTTCTCCACAGCTTTCTTGTAGGACAACCTTCACGAGGAGATCTGGCTCCGCCGCCCACTTGGCTTCACTGGGTCGTTTCCTGAGTTTACCCAGTGGAGTCTCCGGCGGCCAGTCTACGGTCTCTGCCAGGCGCCTCGTGAGTGGCACGACACACTAAGGACGACACTTGCGGCTCTTGGGTTTTCTCCTTCCACTGTTGACCCGTCGCTGTTTCTGCGCACCGACCCTACTCTGCAGCCGTTCTACATCCTCGTGTACGTCGACGACTTGGTCTTTGCTACTGCCGACACTGAGGCGCTGACCCTTGTGAAGGCGGATCTGCAGAAGGGACACACGTGCACTGACCTGGGTGAGTTGCGTAGCTATCTTGGCTTGCAGATCACCCAGGACAGAGCACGGCGCACCATCACTTTGACTCAGTCACACATGGTGCAGTAGGTCCTTCAGCGCTTCGGCTTTCAGTTCTCCTCGCCACAGCCCACTCCTCTGCCTACAGGCCACTCGCTCTCAGCTCCACCTTCGGACGAGTTCGTAGAGCCGAGTGGCCTGTATGTAGAGCTTGTGGGCTGCCTCATGTACCTGATGACGTGCACACGACCTGACCTCGCGTACCCTCTCAGCATCCTTGCTCGCTTAGTCGCGCCCAGGCGACTCAAGAAGGAGCACTAGACAGTTGCGCAGAGGGTACCGCGTTACTTGTGCACTACACCGTGCATGGGGCTGGTGCTTGGAGGACGTGGTTCAGTGGTACTTACAGAACACTCCGACACTTCTTGGGCCGACGACCAGGCGACTCAGCGGTCACCACAGGGTTACTCTTTCAATGTCGGCTCTGGTTCTGTCTCGTGGAGGTCCACTCGCTCGTCTTCTATGCTTAGCTTCAGGTGTGAGGCCGAGATCTACGCTGGGGCCAGGCTGCACAGGAGTTACGCTAGCTCACCTACCTGCTGACCGACTTGGGTGAGCGGCCTCGTTCTCCTCCAGTTCTGTACGTCGACAACAAGGCCATGATTGCCTTGTGTCAGGAGCAGAGACTGGAGCACAGAACGAATCACATTTTTGTTCGTTACTTTCTTACTCGGGAGTTGCAGCAGCATCGTCAGCTGCGCCTTGCTTATGTGGCCTCTCGGGCCAACACTGTTGACGTCTTCACCAAGGCTCTTGTGCTTGGTGATCATCAGCGTTTCTGTACTGCTCTAGGCCGTGTGTCTACTCTGCCTCAACTGCTGGTTGCTTGACTTGTCTTGTACTGTGAAATATATATTATATATATATTTATATGTATATGTATATCCCTGTATGCTTGCTTTTGCTAGGTTGTGATCACTGTACTGCTTGTGCTTTTATAACTCTGCATGTGAACTGGCCTTGAGGTCGCTTGCTTGTGCTTAGAATGCATGGTGATCTTGAGATCCATCCTGAGCTTTGATTTGCTTTGTTCTCTTGCTTGACTGGTCTTGTGACCGTTGGTTGTGTTTGCTATCCCCCACTTTGCCAATGGGGGTGTGTCAAATTGTTCTCTATGCTGTAGTGGGGCATACTCTAAGGGGTACAACACATTAGGTCATTCCTAGTACTTGTACTCATTCTGCCCTACTAGTCTATCATTCTTACGTTCTATTTCTGACAGAAACGTTACTGTGCATTCCTACCAGTAGCAAGAATGGAGAAAAGAGAAAAGAGTACGAAGACAAAGGGTCAAAGCGACACGCACGGTTACGAAACATACGGACCGTCGGAGCAGACAACATCGGGCAGTTGCAGGAACGAAGAATTTGGCGGGAACAGTTTTGTAACTGTACGCGCCACACAGTTGGTTTGAATTCGAATAAGGGAATGTACCCTTTAGGGAACATGTTTAGACTAGGACCATTAGTATTCCCCTGTACTCTTATATAAATAATTGTATTTGCATGTTTTACGGTAATTATATCAGTCATTTTAAATCCACTCTGATTTAACGTCACTATATTCCGCTGCAACACTATATTGCTGCGAACTTTCTTGAGGTGATCCTAGGCACGATCTAACTTCTGATGGCAACAACAAAGTCATTGAACCTTAGTGAATATATTTTATATAAATATTTAAATAGAACTCATTGGATGTTTCCTGTTATGAGTTGTAAAGAAGAGTGCGCAGGTAAACGAATAACGAGACTGTGATTGAACGAACTGAGAATACAATGAAGGGCACGTGCTAATGTAGTGGCTAGCTTAGCTGGGAGGGAACCTCGGACGAGTGAGGTTGGGAGCAGGTTTGGCGATGGGAAATGCCGAAGGCGACGCGAGGAGCTTCGGCAGCGTTGAGATCGGCCGAACGTGCTAAGTCCTAAAGTCGGGGCTGTACGCGAAGCAGTCAACCCCGATAAGGAATTCGGGAAAATTCCTTACATTTCCAATTCGGCTGGAAAGGCGCTAACTTCTGTGATGGCTTTATGAGAGTATGGGCGGGTCCAACAATGTACGTATTCGCAGAAAACCCAACCCAACCATCTGGATTTCTAATTAGACCGCTCTGGATGAGGTCCAAAACTTTTTCAACCCCATTCGGACGTACTCTTTGGACCCACACCACCAACCTTCGGTTCTGTCTCAGAATGCCTGCTTCTCCTATGGGGATTTCGTTGAAGCCCACGGTATGTTCGTTCCGCCAACAAGGCGCGGCATCCTCAAGGTGCTGAGCTCCTATCGAGACCTCAGGTCAGGCGTGTTCGACACGAATTGGACGCACAAACGACCCTAGGTTGGCTCACCGACGAGGCAAAAGGCTGACAACGATGACCCGAAGTGAGGCCTGCGGCGGACCTAGATGCCTCACATGCGCCCTAAGCTTCGGATGTATTGGGACATGAGAGACTGATGAGCAGCATCAAATACAGCCCAGAAGTGAGTGGTGAAAGGAATCGAATTTAGGACTGACCGCCACTGTTAGGACTGTGCCAGCTTTCAAGGTACTGTAGGGTTTACTCTAGGGACCCGTGCGACTGAAATCTCGCCATGACCCAAACCATCCCAAAATTAACCGAAGCTAGCCCCAGCCCCACACAGCAATGATCTTGTCCCACCCATCAAGGGTCTCCGTGTCGCCGAGGCATTCTAGTACGGTACTACCTTGATCGCTACTGAGTGTTGTGTCCGTAATCCGTGTCTCTTGATTCTGCCGATGCTTTTATGTACCTAGTCTCTCCGCTCTCTTCCGCCTCCAGTCTCTGCAGAAGTAGGTAATTATCAGAAGGTCGCTCCGATTAATTGACTGTAACAATAGGTTTCGTTTGACTACCAACTGTTAGAGGGTGAGCAATGGCGACGATGGAGGTAGCAGGTTGGGAAGACAAGGACGCGCTACTGGACAGCGCGTGGATGGACGCCGCCACCAAGGACGACGAACCCGAAGACGACGGACCCAACCCTGACGACTTCCGTCGCTCTCGCACGTTTACATCCTCCATTCTTTCCCGAATTACCGCGTCAACACCTGGGAGAGGTGAGTCGAGCAGAGCGACGCCGCGCGGAGCCAGCGACGGCAAGGCGGCGTCTAGCGGCGGCAGCTCCAAGGACGGCCCGAAGCCGCCCAAATGGCTCAACTTCCGGGGCTCCGCGAGCAAGGGGGCTTCCGACGACATCAGCAAGGTGGCAGCTACTCCAAGTGCGAATCGAACCGCAGCCTCGAGATCTCCCGACGCCAATTGGTCCGACAAGCAGTCGCTTCCTCCGGCAGACACGTCAGCAGCTGATGAGCCGTCAATGGACGATCTTCGTCGATCCGTTACCGTGTCCGCCGTTGATAGAAGCTCGTTGCGCCGGCAGCACAAGGAGATGGGCACCCTCCGCGCGACTGCCGAGGTTGCGAACAAGAAGGCGAGCGCGCTTGGCGGCAGGAGCGGCGCTTCCGCCGGCGACGCCGGCGGATTGAATGCGCCGGGCGCTCAAACCAACCCGGGAAACGCGGGCGGGCTTGCACGGACGCGATCCGGCGGAAGCGCGACGTCGGTGGTGTCGCGACCTCCTGCTCCCATGTCGGCCGCTAAAGTCGCCTTCTTCTCGTTTGATAAACACCGCGAGGCCGTCGCGGGCGCGGAACAAGCGGAGCAGCTGACGCTTTCCGCCGATGAGCAGAAGGCGCGCGGACAATCGGGGGAATCTGTCGCGCGGAAAGGCTATGGACGGCGGGCGCAGAGCATTGGCGGAATGGCAGGGGAGCTGCGCGGAAGAGGGGGGATTCCGGATGGCGGGAGGGGCGCATCGGGAGGCCCGGTGCGGGCCAGCTTGGGAAGGTGAGTGAGAAACTTCCGGACGTGGGGGAAAGATGAACAGTACACAAGAGAGCGAAAGATAAAATCTCGTAGCTCGTGATACGGGTTGTGGATAGCGGGTCAAGGTTGGGTAGAATTGAAGGCGTGCAGAGAATGGCAGCTCGCGTTTGAGGCCAGCGATGTGCCGTGCGGATAAGCCTGGGTTGTGTACGCAGTTACCTGTAGTCGTCCGCTTCTCTAGCAGCCTCTTGTTCCAAGCCAATTCTTTTCCTGAAAGACGGAGCAGTTGTGGAATGGTTAGCCTGTAGCACGCTTCGTGGTGACCTTTGAGTCTAAGTCACCTCATTGTATCGAGCGCCCTCTCTTTGGCGGTGTAGGGTTGAGTGGTGTGAAGGATGGTTCCGTGTGAACAACGTCGTTTCTACCGTCGTGAGCATGGGTCGAGTGTTGTCATCATAGAATTATCCTTCCCGTCCCACTCCCCCCCGTTCCCCCTTCCCCCAGGAGTCGCAGTGTGGGCAACGCTCAGAGCGACGCGGGCAGCCATGGCCTCTCGCCGCTGCACCCATCCGCCTCTCGCCTCTCCGCCAACTCCGACCGCCCGGCCTCCCCCCAGCTCATGCGCCGCCCCCGCGGCCACTCCACCTCAATGCTGCCCCCCACAGTGCGCACCTCGACCCCTCCCCGCGCGCCCGACCCTGGCGACCGCCCAGGCTCGTCCCTTTCCGAACGAGGGAGTGGGCCGACTGGGAGGCGTAAGAGTGGTGTGTCCAGGAGAAAGGAAGGGGGAGGTTCGATAGGAGGCTCGGAAAGAACGGGTTCGCCCCTTTCACGAGGAGCTTATATCGGGTACGCAAGTGAGGATGCGCCAGGGAATGCTGGAAGCGCGGGGCTTGTGGGTGGTAACGCGGAAGGCGAATATGAGCAGTACCAGCAGCGGGGGAGCAGAGGGCGCGGGATGGGCGCAGGGAGAGGGGCGCAAGGGGGAAGGCATGGGCAGCAGAAATCAAGCAGCAGCAGTGGAGGGGGTGAGGGGGAGGGCGTGCGAGGGGGGACGAGCGGAGGTGGGCGTGTAGAAGGGGGAGCGAGTGCGGGGAGAATGGGGAGGGGAAGCGTGGCAGTGAGGGGAGTTGCGGGTGGGGGGGTGGCTGCGAGTGGCGGGAGAGGAGGGGCGGGCGGGCATGTGTACGGGTATGGCAGAGGCGGGGAGGATGAGGGGTACGGGGAGGGAGGGGTGTGGGAGGAGGGATTTGATAGCGGGGAGGGGGTGGGGGGGCTGATGGGTGCTGAGGAGCAGCAGCAGCAGCAGTGGCAGGGGCAGGGGCAGCAGCAGTGGCAAGGGCAGCACATGCAGGCGCAGCAAGGGCATGCGGATGGGTATTCAAGTGGATACGTGGATGATGGAGGGAGGTACTCGGGCGAACAAGGGGAGGAGCAGCAGGGAGACGATGATTGGTATGAGGGAGGGGGAGGGAGGGGTCCTGGGGCGTACGAGCAGCAAGGGGCGTACGAGCAGCAAGGGGCGTACGAGCAGCAAGGGGCGTACGAGGGCGCGTACGAGGAGGGCGTGTATGGGGGCGAAGAGGGCTATGATGAGCAGGCTGGGGGGGCGCAGGGCTATGGCACGCAGGCGGGGTATGAAGGCGGGTACGGCGAGGCAGGGTACAGTGAGGCAGGGTACAGAGAGGCAGGGCGCGCGGGGCAGGGGTATGGGCGGCACACACAGCGGGGCGGAGGGCACAATGAGTATGGCGAGGCAGGGTATGGGAAGCAGGGGCAGGGGTATCATGAGACAGGGTATAACGAGCAGGGGTATAACGAGGAAGTGTATAATGAGCAGGCATATAACGAGCAGGGGTATAACGGGCAAGGATATAGCGAGCAGGGATATAATGAGCAGGGATATAGTCAGCAGGGATATAACGAGCAGGATTATAATGAGGAAGCGTACAACGAGCAAGGGTATGTGGAGGAAGGGTTTGGAGAGCAACGGTACGAGCAAGGATATGGGAAGCAAGAATATGGGGAGCAGGGGTATGGGGATCAGGGGCAGGAGAGGCAGGGGTACGAGGAGGAAGGGTATTATGAGGAGCAAGGCAGCAGTGGGAGTGGGGGGTACAGTGAAGGCAGAGGCGGGCAGTACCCGGTGCAGGTGCAACCTGGGCGGCAGCAGTACCAGCAGCAGCTCCAGCAGCCACTGCAGCAGCAAGAATACTCCCAGCAGCAGCAGCAGCAGCAGCAGGTGGTGGGAGGTCGTCAAGAAAGGGATCAGTGGGAGCAGCAGGTGCAGTGGGGGCAGGGGGAGGAGCAGACATGGGCGGTGGAGGCATGGCAGGCGCCTCTGCGCCCCGAGCCAGGGCCTCCAAGCACCAGCCCCCACAGTCGCATCAGCAACCGGCCAATCGGCGCCCGCCAAGTGGAGGGGCGAAGGGTGCTGGTGTGTCTCGTAGTCGAGGAGGTGCAGGTGGTGGCGGAGGGTACTGAGGGGTGGGGAAAGGTGGAGGAAGAGAAGGTGCCAAGGGTAGGGGAGGGGTGTGGGGAGCAGACAGGTCGGGAGTCATACGGTCTGAAAGAAATAGGGGTGCATCGGGGGGAGTGGGATTTCCTTGTGTGGTGGCTGTGAGCAATAGGGGCACCGCTCCTACTCTCTTCCTGTTGGAGAGGGGTGAAGAACAACATGGCAGCACAGTGAGAAGGTTGTTGATGCAATTCAAAGGCAGAGTCAGAAAGAGTCCTGCTGTCTGGTGTGAAGCGAAGCGGCAAGCAGTGGTGGCAGCTGGCATGACTGCAGCTCACATGGCATGGCATGGCATGACGGCATGTGGGAGTGTGCCAGCCGAAAGCACACAGCCAGTCAACACAACTCCCTGCTGCTGTGTGCTCAGTATGGGTTGCCCTCTGGTGGACATGGCTGCAGGTTAGGGGTTCTCTCGTGGTGTGGATGCTTGTTGCAGCGATGGTGAATGTTGAATGCACCTCTCATGCTGCACCCAATGCAGCCTGCAGCCAAGCTACTTGTGTTTGCTGCATGGATCACTGCCAACCGCATGCTCTATGTAGAGTCTTCAATATGCTAAACTCTGTACAACTACTGGACATGATGAATATATATTTAAGCGGGTATATATATATATTTATTTGGGCGCAGGCACACTACACTCTTACAAACATAATCCACCGAATCCAGCTCCCACAACCCCGCCCCCTTCATCCCCACCACCGCCTCTTCCGCTGTTTTCCCCCTCCCCCCAGCCACCATCCACGCCCCCTGCTGCACCCCCTGTGACTCAAACGAGGAGTTCACCTCTGATGGCGCCATGTAGCATGGCAGCCCCAACCTCCACACAGTCACACCCACACGAAGCTTCCTCGCTGCTTCCTCCAGTGCAGCCCACCGGGCGGCACTGTTGCCTGCATCCAGCCATGCTGCTCGCAGCGCCTCCCATGACCTCGCGTCCTCCTGCCTGCTGCTGTCGCCTGTATCGAATCCACTGTCGCTGCTGTCGCCGTCACTGCTGTTGCCGGGGGTACCCCAGAGCAGGTGGGCAAGCAGGGAGTGCAGGGCGGAGCGGGCAGCGGGGGAGGGCGGCAGGAGGAACACGTCTGACAGGGGCGAGTCGCCCACCCCCACTGCCAGCCCCGCCCGCTGCCACGCCTGCCATTGCTCCTCCTGCTGCCCCTGCTGCCTCTCTGCTTCCACCTGTCCCCCTGTCTCTTGCTGCTGCTTGTTATCTGTCGCCCTCTGCTCATGCGGGCTAGACCCAACCCACTGCCATTGCCCCTGCGCCTGCCCGTCGCCCTGCTGCTGTTGGCTGCTGTGGTGCGCATGCAGCAGGTGGGGCAAGAGGCAGAGGAAGGGGTCGCCCCGCCACGTGACGGCCGGGGAGGCCAGCAGCACCGGCACGCGCAGGCGGGCTGACAGCAGCACAGCCGTGCGGAGGTGTGTGGGGGATGGGATGAGGGGGGGTGGAAGCGGAGAGGGGGGGTCAGGGGAAGGAGGGGAGGGCGAGGAGGGGAGGAGGGAGACGAGGTGGCCGCGGGTGGCGAGGTGCAGGGCGAGGGCGGGGCAGGAGGTGAGCACCGCATAGTGGGACAGCCCCAGCCCGTCCACGTGGCACGCCCAGTTGCGCGCCAGCTGGTGCCATGCAGGAGGGGGAGGGTTGTCTGTGTGGCGCAGCAGGGAGGAGGCCCAGGGGTTTATGTGGGCGTGGTGCTGCTGGGGTGGTGTGGAGGGGTCAGTGGGAGAGAGTTGGAGGTCGGGCAGGAGGAGCAGAGCCAAGGATGTCACCTGCAATGCGATGCATGGCACGGGTAAGGGGTATGGGGCTTATGAGCACGGAAGCAAAGGCCTGCCTGCGTTACAAGAGTAGCCAAGCAAAGTAGAAAGAAAGAAAGAAAGAAAGAAAGATGATTCGAGCCCTGCTCCACCCGTGAATGCAGCGTTCCTGTGTGTCTCTCTCACCCGTCTCGCACTCTGCACCGCTCGTAACAGCTCTTCATCGCGCGTCACCATGGATGCATACGTGTCATCCGCCATTCCTGCTGCTCCTGCTGACTCAGCATCACCTCCTTCTGACTCATCGCCAGCTCCTGCACGACCCTCCTGGTGATCACCCCCTGCCTCCGCCTCCCCTCTTCCCCCACCGGTCTGCCCTTCAACCCAAAGCTCCCCAGCGCCCTGCCGCTCGCGCTCCTCCCCCCTGCCCTCCCCCCGCCACGCCCACGCGGAGCCCCCTCGCCCCACCCAGGGCAGAGGGCGCAGGCAGAAGTCAAAGCGCGGCAGCGAGGCTAACGGGGGCAGCTCCCTCCACCACCATGGGCCCTGCTCTGCTGCAACCACCTGCCCTGCCCTCAGGTGCTCCGGCAGGTGCTCTGTTGCATTCAGGAGTCCTCCTGCGTTCACCTGCTCTGCTGCACCCAGGTGTTCTCCAGCAGCGAGGTGTTCGGGCATGAGCAGAGTGGCATCAGCGCCCTGGGAGCGCTTGAAGCTCTCGCCCTGCTCGCGGTGGCTCACACTCAGCGCCAGCCCGCCCGGCAGCGACGCGTACAGGTTGAGGGCGGCCGTGGCGTGCGCCCACCGCACGATCCACGGCGTCCAGATGCCGTTGCCCTGTTGGGTTGGGGGGGGGGGGGGAGGGGGAAAGGGAGATGAGGCGTGTCACTGCCCCACCCAGTACAGGGGCGAGCGCACGGTGCAGAGGTGAGCATGGAGGGGCCTGCGAAGGTGGGGGGGGAAGAAAATGGGGAGGGGGAGAGGGAATGGCAAGGCAGGCCCACAAAAGGTAGTGCACTGCAAGGCAGGCCGGCAGTGGGTGGGAGAGGGGAAGAAAGGACCACGCGCTCAACCGCATGCACAGTCACTTGCACACCCCCTCACCACCCCTCTCCACCCCCCTTCTCCTTTCCCCCGCGGCACGCACCCGCCCCTTCCAGAAGCCTGTGGTCTTGAGCCCTTGGATGACCGGCTCTCGCCCCGGCGTGTAGCGCCGCGCGTCGTACCACACGCGGAACGCCCGCCACGGCGCCGGCAGCAGCAGCTGCCCCCACGTGCCCACTAATGAGTACAGGAACGGCCGCCCCGTATGCGCTATGGCCCGCGCCGGCTGCCCCGGCACGAGGCGCTGGCGCTGCAGGGAGATGCCGTACACGTTAGAGTCGTACTCGGTATGGTTGTAGTAGTAGCGGAGCAGCATGCGCTTGAGGTAGGCGTAGAAGAGCGGCGAGACGGCGACATCGTCCTCGAGCACAAAGGCAAACTCGTTGCTGTCGCTGGGCCACCACGCCTCCATCCACTGCGCCTGCACTCCGCCATTCATGCTGCGCACGTGCACCTGCACGCCACAGCCACGCACCCCCACCGCCGGTCATGCTCTGAAAAAGTCCATCAATTGAACAAGGGTGAGAAGCGCTGTTGTTGAAAATTGCCACAGCCCAGCCCAGCTTCGCATGTGCTGACAGCCTAGCTCTGTGCCACCACTCCACTTTGAGTCGACTGTATAATCGGCAGTGTTAAGAGTTCCTCAGTATTCTATGCGCACCTGCTTGTGGCCGTGCTGCCATGGGAACGAGTCCGCCACCGCCAGCACCGACCGGAACTTTTGCCGCTTCGATGCCACCTCCCCCGCGCCACGCCTCTGCACCGCTCCAACTACTGGCCGCACCTCCCCCAGCCGCCGCCGCCCCTGCGCCTCCCCCTTCGTCCTCTGTGCCCGCTGCGCCCACAGCCGCCCTCTGTGGCGCCAGTTGGACAGGTCCCCCGCCTCCTCCACGCCAAACGCGCTGTGCCCCAGCCCCACCGCACCGGGGGACGCGAATCCGCGTTTCGCACCGCCAGGCAGCTGCGGATTAGCCTCGAGCCCCTGGTTCCGCGCCCCGCCTCCCCCCAGACCACCCTCCGCCGCGGATTCAGCCTGCTCCGAGTCGTCCGCCTGCTCCCCCACCTCCCACGAGCGGCTGTCTAAGCGATCTTTGAGCTGTAGCGGGTCGTTCAGCTGCACGCCCGCGAATGGGTGGTCCACGTGGATGTCCAGTGACACGTCATCGCCGCCATAGTCTGCCGCCCGCAATGATTGCAAGCAGCGGGACAGGCTCGCCGCGCGGTCGAACGTGAGCACGATGAGCCGCACGTGCATGCGAGACGCGTCGCGCGCGGAGCGATCCTCCGCGTCGCCGTTGTCCCCACGGCTTCGGTGGTCATTCCGGTCAGTGGTGCCGCCGCTGCCGCTGCTGTCAGCGGCCATGGCGAACGGACGCGAATCGAGATCGTCGGCGGCGCGCGGCTGATCGTCAAGCACATCTCCCCCGTTCATCGCAGAAGAGAGAGCTGATCTGTGCGTTCCGGATGGCGCGGAGAGGCGGTGGCAGATGCGCTGGACGAATGGCGACGAGAACGCGGAATGGGCGCTCAGTGCGACGCAAACGAGGACGACTATAACGAGAGCGACAGCCAAACGAGGCAAGAGAAAGGCTGGCCGTCTGTGAACTCCCGTGGCTGTCGTTTGCGATTCGCCCGCAGCTGTCATGGCGCGCAGGTTGTCCTTGACGTCCCCATCGAGATTGCCACGTGGCGGCGAGTCCACCCTCCGCGGGTGGCGCTGGCGCCACATGGTGTTGGCTCGTCGCGCGCCGTGCTGCCACCGCGCGATCAGCAACGACGGCAGAGAGGCGAATGCGATGCGACTATGCTTCGCGATGCGGCGAATCAAGGCTAGGAATGGCCCAACATGAGAAGGTTGTGAATGTGGATGATGCATGCCTTCTCCACATCCATGAATTCGTACTCGATAATAATTCCGCCATTGCTGTACTCTTTCTTGAGAAAAAAACATATCTATATTATTTCTGTATTGAGGTTCAATATAAGGGATTACACCCCTCAAACCTGCTTGATTCCACACCTATCCTCTACGTTGCGCACCTTACGTGGCTCAATTTCAACCGTCGATACCCCCCACATTGTACCCTTTTGTAACAGGTTCGGTGTAGACATTCCCATTCACAGCTGTGACCCACATAGATCCCCCAGCTTGTCCACTCCATCCCCAACTTACCTTTTCATTCCTTCTTTCCCATCGTGCTCGTACTTGGTCCAGCCAGCCCCGCGTCATTATCCCGCCATGGCCGCAACAAGCGCAGCAGCAGCCTCAGCGTTCGCGTCGCCTGCGGCGCGCTCGCTTGCGGACCTTCGCACGGCAGGCCATTCCCTCGCAGCAGGCCCGCCGTGTTCCCTTTCTCTTGGATCGCCGTCGGACCGCCTCAACGCTGCGAGCGCTTTAGTCGCCCGCGACGTCGCACAGGTCGCCAGGCGATCCTCCCGTCGAGCGACGTGGATCGCCTCCGTGGGCGGCGGGTCTGGCGGCGCCGGGTACAGCGATGGCAACGAGAGCGATGACGCTGAGGACGTGGCAGTCAGCGACGAGTCAGTGCCGGATGACATTCTCGAAACGCTCGCCCAATCAGCTGCTGCCACGCAAGCAGCAGCCATCATTTCCCTTGAGGCAAACGCGATTGCTGGCGGAGACCCCGCGGAAGAAGCGGCGGCCTTTGCGGCTACGGAGGCGGCCGAGGCTGCGGCGCGCGCGCAGCAGCGGCAGTTGCGCGACCTGAAGCTGTGCTTGATCGACTCGCTCTACGGCACGGAGCGCGGGTTCCGCGCGAGCGGGGAGACGCGCGCGGAGGTGGCGGAGCTGGTGGCGCAGCTGGAAGCCGCCAACCTTACCGAGGCGCCCACCGAGTCGCCCGCGCTCGACGGCAACTGGGTGCTCGTGTGAGGCTCCTGCGGCCCTTTTGCTCGCCCTTGTCCCCCTGTTGCCCACCCCGTTCCCCTCCTCGCCCTCCCCCTCCCTCAGCACTGTTACCCCACCCTCCCCCCCACCCGCCCCCTTTCCTCCCCCTTGCCTTGTTATTCCCTGGTCAGTTCCCTTTTTCCAGCAGAACGCGCACGCCGCCATCCCTCCTCCCTCACGCGCCCCGCACTCCTCTTTTTCCCCAATCCAACTCTCCCCCACTCCTCCTCCCACTCACTCTCCTTCCCCCCCTCCACCCCCCACCCAGGTACACGTTTTCGGAGCTGCTGCCGCTGCTGGCGGCGGGGCAGGTGCCGCTGGTGCGGGTGGGCGCCATCACGCAGAGCGTGGATCTGGCGGGGGGAGCAGTGAGCAACAGCATCTCGTTTGAGGGGCCGCTCACCTCCTCCACCATCCGTGTCGACGCCAAGGCGGAGATCAGGAGTGGCAAGCGCCTGCAGGTGAGCAAGGCTCGTAGGCTGGGGTGGGGTGGGTGGGCGCACCGGGATATGCAGCATGCAGATTCTTTTGAGGCGCCTCAAAAGTCAGATTCATGGAAAATACCCCTTCGCCTGGGGCTAGGATGCATCTGCTCGTCCCCTTTCCCTCCTTCCACTCTCACCCTCGTCTCTCCCTCTCCCTCTTCTCTCCCCCATCCCCCAACCCTCTTTCGCCCCCCTCCCACCACCACCAGGTGAAGTTTGAGCAGGTGACCTTCTCGGCCCCGCAGCCCCTGGACGCCGCCTCCCCGCCCTCCCTGGCGCCCATCGCACTCTTCGGCCAGACCCTAGACCTGTCGCCCCTGGCAGCAGCACTGCAGCCGCTGCAGCAGGCGGCGCTGGAGGTGGCCAAGCTTGTGTCGGGCGTGCCGCCGCTGGCGCTGCCCATCGATGGCGAGCGAGCGTCGGGGTGGCAGCTCATCACGTACCTCGATGATGACTTCCGGATTGCTAGGGGCGATGCCGGATCGCTGTTTGTCATGGTGAGGGAGGGCAGTGACCTGCTGGAGTGAGGAGGGGAAAGGGGTTCTGCGTGTGGTGGGTGGTGCGGTACGGTACAAAAGGCTCCGAAGCTTGTTCCGTGCCACACGACACGGCCTTAGGAGGGTGCTTATTTCTGCTCAGCTGGTAGCGAGGATGGGCGGTAGAAGGGCTTTCGATTATTGTCTCCAAAACATGAAGACAAGGTAGACTTTTAGCCTAGTTAGTTCACTCATACAATATCCTAAAGAAACACTGCATGGGTTGAACTCAATGGTGGGTTGGTCGGGCTGTGGCCTGTTACCGTAATAGAGCGGTGTGGTGTGGGGTGACCCCCATATTGAAGTGCTGAACATTTGACAGTTCGTTTCTGCATCAGCGACGAGCAGCAGTGCTGATTAGGAGCGCCCATGGGATCGAATGCACTCAAGCCACGTCGCTCCACATTATCACCTTTTCTACATGGTACCGTGGCTACTGTAATTGTCAATGAGTTCCCCTTTTCTACGTACCGTGGCTACTGTAATTGTCAATGAGTTCCCCTTTTCTACATACCGTAGCTACTGTAATCGTCGATGAGTTCCCCTTTTCCCGATGCAAGCCCCAGGGAACCCATGCAGACACAGTTAAAGCTCAAAGACACGGGCCGTGTGGTCGTCCGACCCCGTCACAGCGAAGGCCCCGTCCCTGCAGGGGTTGACGCATGGGGCAGGCAGTGTGGCACGGGTGAGAGTGGGTGGGGGGGCGCGCAGGGCTGGTGTGTGATGGCCATATGCCCATGCCATGTTGAATGAATGCATCCCTGGGCATGCAAGCACACATGCAAGAGTCACGGAACACATGTGCACTATACACATGCATTTGTGGTAGGCTCGAGAGTGATGGTGGGGTGACTTGGGAGGGAGAGAGCTCACGGGGTGAGGGCAAGGGAGAGCACGGCATCGCGGTTCCCTCGCAGGGTCTTCTGAATGGCCCCCGTGCGCGCATCCCACACATGCACTGCTCCATCCACTGTCGCCGTCACCAGAACCGGTGCTGCCGGCGCCCACACCATCTGCACCACCCCGTCCTGCCATGCGGCGGCAAGAGTGGTGTAGGCGAGAGAGGAGAGAGGGGAGGGGCGGTTGAGGGGACCAGGCAGTGCAGTGAGAGTGTGTGAAGAGCATGAATGCGTGAGTGCCACATGGTTCAAGCGATGCAAGAGAGCAGGAACAGCGAGGAGCATCTAGTGCAGCGGACCTGGTGAGTGCAGGTGGAGCGCAGCTGCAGTGAGTTGATGTCAAATATGCGCACCGACCCGTCCAGTGATGCCGTCGCCACTGTTGGCCCCCTGCCATGCCCACACCACACACCCATGCACCACACACCACACGCCACACACCCATGCACCACACACCACACGCCACACACCCATGCATGCATACACCCACAAGTGCACGCACAAGCGCAGAGGCAGCAGTGAGGGCGGGACAATGCCACTGCTTCGTGCAGGAATGCTTCGCTCTGGCAATGCGTGGCGGGGCAGTACGTGGCAGTGGCAAGAAGGGCAGGAGGGAAAGGAGGCAGAGGCAGGGCGGGCGGGGGTGAGGGAGGCACTCACTGGGGGTTGAAGACAACCGCCTCCACCGAGTCCGTGTGCCCCTCCAGCTTGCCCAACACCTGCCCAACCATGCCATGCCATGCCATGCATGCAGGGATGAGACAGATCATTGACGGGAGAAGATACTGATATGAGACCAAGTGCCTCTGCGGCGTGCTTGTAGAAACGCGAGTGGTGGAGCAGAGGGGAGAGTGAGAGGAACAAGGGCAGCTGCGTGTGAGAGGAACAATGGCAGCTGCGTGTGAGAGGAACAAGGGCAGCTGCGTGTGAGAGGAACAAGGGCAGCTGCGTGTGAGAGGAACAATGGCAGCTGCGTGTGAGAGGAACAAGGGCAGCTGCGTGTGAGAGGAACAAGGGCAGCTGCGCGCGAGAGGAACAAGGGCAGCTGCTGTGAGAGGAACAAGGGCAGCTGCGTGTGAGAGCAAGGGAGGAAGCCAAGGGAGGGGACAGCACCCACCTTGGGCTGGTGCAGGCCAAAGAGGGCAGCAGTGTGGTCGGCGGAGCCAGCAGCGCCCACTGCGCCCTGAGGCGCCATAGCCAGGCATGTGATGGCATCGCTGTGGAACAACGGGCCTGCCACGCCGTGCAGTGACGCGCAGAGAGGGGTGGTGGGAGTGATGGGCCATGGCACATGGCACATGGCACATGGAATAGCAGGTGATAGACACACAGCCATTGCATATGAGTGGTAAGAGGGGTGGCAGGGCCGATAGTTAAGATGCGTGAGAGGTGCGAGGGGTGAGAGCGGTGGGAGAGAAGAGAGGGGGGTAGGAGGGGCGTGAGGTGGGGGGAGACCTGTGAGGGTGGCGGTGGTGGCGGCAGAGCGCGGGTCCCAGCAGCGCACCGACCCGTCCGTTGACCCCGTCCACACCGCCCGGCCTGGGGGGTGGGAGAGCCAAGGGGAGAAGGAGGATTGCGAGGGGAAGAATAGGGATGCGCAGGGGTGGAGGAAGGGGCTTCTGGGTCGACTGAAAGGTCGCACGGACCCATTCGCCTGCCCGATCCCCACTGCTCGGCTTGGAGGCGCGGAGAGGCGTGAGACGGGGAGGGGAGGAAAGTGGGGCATGCGATGCTAGCAAGGCACAAGTGTGCTCCTCTGACTCTGAGCTGCTCTGCTGTGCTGTGCTCTGCCCCGCACCACACAGTGAATGGCTTGAAAGTGCAGCGATCAAGACACGAGGAGCAGAGGCAGCATGTACCATCGGGCGAGAAGGCCCCACAGGTGACCCACCATCGGGGGAGAAGGCCCCACAGGTGACCCCAGCGCTGTGCCCCGTGAAGACGGCCATGCACGCCCCCGTCTCCGCATTCCACATCCACGCTGTCAGGTCCTCCGACCCCGCCAATACCACTGCGCCACGTGGATGCCACGTCAGGAACTGCGTTGGAACAGGAGAGGTAGCGATGGCAGGGGGCGAGAGATGGCGTAAGAAAGCAGTGGTGGACATGGGCATGGGGCGGGGCCAGAGCAGAGAGGAAGGGGAGTGAGCTGCGTCTGCCACACCAGGCACAGCAACCAGAGCTCCCAACAACCACACAACAGTGGGGAGAGCACTGGAGAGGAAGGCGGGGCACGGGAGAAGACCCGGCCGTGCCATGCGCACCTCGATGCTCTCCCCTGGCCCCTCCAGGCGGTGGCGCCTCTCCCCCGTGGCAGCGTCCCACAGCATGACCACTCCGTCCATTCCTGCTGTTGCCACCCACCGCCCGTCCCCACTGAACTCCACTGCCGCCACGCTGTCCCTGTGCCCTGCCATGCCATGCAGGGAGGGCAGCGGGTGGGGGTGGAGGGGAGTGGATGGAGAGGGGAGTGGGGGGTTGCTTTGAAAGCAGGCAGGAGATGGCGCTCAACAAGCATGCGGCAGTGTGAGAGAGCTGCTCTGCTGCACCTTATTACAGTAAAGCATGCTGACGTGCGGGCATGTGCTATTGGCATGCTGACGTGCGGGCATGTGCTATTGGCATGCCGACGTGCGGGCATGTGCTATTGGCATGCTGACGTGCGGGCATGTGCTATTGGCATGCTGACGTGCGGGCATGTGCTATTGGCATGCTGACGTGCGGGCATGTGCTATTGGCATGCACGCACCAGCAGCAGCCCACCTTGGAGCTTAATGGGGTCGTCCGCCTGCCCGATGGTCCACAGGTACGCCACATCGTCCCCGCCGCCCGACGCCACTCTGCCGCCCGGGAGAGGGCTGCATGCCACGGCGTACACACTGTCTGGTGGGCGGCAGGGGTGGCGGCGAGGGTGTGTGGAGTGAGGGAGAAGGTAGCAAGAGAGGGAGAAGGTAGCAAGACAGGGAGAGAGGGAAGTGTGAAGGGCAGGCAGAGAGCAACAGGAGCAGCAGGTGTTGCACGGGGTCATGGCAGGCAGCAGTGGCAGCAAGGGCAGGCAGAGATCACCTGTGTGTGCCAAGAACACATGCGCTCACCTGTGTGTGCCGAGAACACATGCGCTCACCTGTGTGTGCCGAGAACACATGCGCTCACCTGTGTGTGCCGAGAACACATGCGCTCACCTGTGTGCGCCGTGAACACATGCGCTCACCTGTGTGTGCCGTGAACACATGCGCTCACCTGTGTGTGCCGTGAACACATGCGCTCACCTGTGTGTGTCGTGAACACATGCGCTCACCTGTGTGTGCCGAGAACACATGCGCTCACCTGTGTGTGCCGTGAACACATGCGCTCACCTGTGTGTGCCGAGAACACATGCGCTCACCTGTGTGTGCCGTGAACACATGCGCTCACCTGTGTGTGCCGAGAACACATGCGCTCACCTGTGTGCGCCGTGAACACATGCGCTCACCTGTGTGTGCCGTGAACACATGCGCTCACCTGTGTGTGCCGTGAACACATGCGCTCACCTGTGTGCGCCGTGAACACATGCGCTCACCTGTGTGTGCCGTGAACACATGCGCTCACCTGTGTGTGCCGTGAACACATGCGCTCACCTGTGTGTGCCGAGAACACATGCGCTCACCTGTGTGTGCCGTGAACACATGCGCTCACCTGTGTGTGCCGTGAACACATGCGCTCACCTGTGTGTGCCGTGAACACATGCGCTCACCTGTGTGTGCCGAGAACACATGCGCTCACCTGTGTGTGCCGAGAACACATGCGCTCACCTGTGTGTGCCGTGAACACATGCGCTCACCTGTGTGTGCCGAGAACACATGCGCTCACCTGTGTGTGCCGTGAACACATGCGCTCACCTGTGTGTGCCGAGAACACATGCGCTCACCTGTGTGCGCCGTGAACACATGCGCTCACCTGTGTGTGCCGTGAACACATGCGCTCACCTGTGTGTGCCGTGAACACATGCGCTCACCTGTGTGCGCCGTGAACACATGCGCTCACCTGTGTGTGCCGTGAACACATGCGCTCACCTGTGTGTGCCGTGAACACATGCGCTCACCTGTGTGTGCCGAGAACACATGCGCTCACCTGTGTGTGCCGTGAACACATGCGCTCACCTGTGTGTGCCGAGAACACATGCGCTCACCTGTGTGCGCCGTGAACACATGCGCTCACCTGTGTGTGCCGTGAACACATGCGCTCACCTGTGTGTGCCGTGAACACATGCGCTCACCTGTGTGTGCCGAGAACACATGCGCTCACCTGTGTGTGCCGAGAACACATGCGCTCACCTGTGTGTGCCGTGAACACATGCGCTCACCTGTGTGTGCCGAGAACACATGCGCTCACCTGTGTGTGCCGTGAACACATGCGCTCACCTGTGTGTGCCGAGAACACATGCGCTCACCTGTGTGTGCCGTGAACGCATGCGCTCACCTGTGTGCGCCGTGAACACATGCGCTCACCTGTGTGTGCCGTGAACACATGCGCTCACCTGTGTGTGCCGTGAACACATGCGCTCACCTGTGTGTGCCGTGAACACATGCGCTCACCTGTGTGTGCCGAGAACACATGCGCTCACCTGTGTGTGCCGAGAACACATGCGCTCACCTGTGTGTGCCGAGAACACATGCGCTCACCTGTGTGTGCCGTGAACACATGCGCTCACCTGTGTGTGCCGTGAACACATGCGCTCACCTGTGTGTGCCGTGAACACATGCGCTCACCTGTGTGTGCCGTGAACACATGCGCTCACCTGTGTGTGCCGTGAACACATGCGCTCACCTGTGTGTGCCGAGAACACATGCGCTCACCTGTGTGTGCCGAGAACACATGCGCTCACCTGTGTGTGCCGTGAACACATGCGCTCACCTGTGTGCGCCGTGAACACATGCGCTCACCTGTGTGTGCCGAGAACACATGCGCTCACCTGTGTGTGCCGTGAACACATGCGCTCACCTGTGTGTGCCGTGAACACATGCGCTCACCTGTGTGTGCCGTGAACACATGCGCTCACCTGTGTGTGCCGTGAACACATGCGCTCACCTGTGTGTGCCGTGAACACATGCGCTCACCTGTGTGTGCTGTGAACACATGCGCTCACCTGTGTGTGCCGAGAACACATGCGCTCACCTGTGTGTGCCGAGAACACATGCGCTCACCTGTGTGCGCCGTGAACACATGCGCTCACCTGTGTGTGCCGTGAACACATGCGCTCACCTGTGTGTGCCGTGAACACATGCGCTCACCTGTGTGTGCCGAGAACACATGCGCTCACCTGTGTGTGCCGAGAACACATGCGCTCACCTGTGTGTGCCGAGAACACATGCGCTCACCTGTGTGTGCCGTGAACACATGCGCTCACCTGTGTGTGCCGTGAACACATGCGCTCACCTGTGTGTGCTGTGAACACATGCGCTCACCTGTGTGTGCCGTGAACACATGCGCTCACCAGTGTGTGCCGAGAACACATGCGCTCACCTGTGTGCGCCGTGAACACATGCGCTCACCTGTGTGTGCCGTGAACACATGCGCTCACCTGTGTGTGCCGTGAACACATGCGCTCACCTGTGTGTGCCGAGAACACATGCGCTCACCTGTGTGTGCCGTGAACACATGCGCTCACCTGTGTGCGCCGTGAACACATGCGCTCACCTGTGTGTGCCGTGAACACATGCGCTCACCTGTGTGTGCCGTGAACACATGCGCTCACCTGTGTGTGCCGTGAACACATGCGCTCACCTGTGTGTGCCGTGAACACATGCGCTCACCTGTGTGTGCCGAGAACACATGCGCTCACCTGTGTGTGCCGAGAACACATGCGCTCACCTGTGTGTGCCGTGAACACATGCGCTCACCTGTGTGCGCCGTGAACACATGCGCTCACCTGTGTGTGCCGTGAACACATGCGCTCACCTGTGTGTGCCGTGAACACATGCGCTCACCTGTGTGTGCCGTGAACACATGCGCTCACCTGTGTGTGCCGTGAACACATGCGCTCACCTGTGTGTGCCGTGAACACATGCGCTCACCTGTGTGTGCCGTGAACACATGCGCTCACCTGTGTGTGCCGTGAACACATGCGCTCACCTGTGTGTGCCGAGAACACATGCGCTCACCTGTGTGTGCCGTGAACACATGCGCTCACCTGTGTGTGCCGTGAACACATGCGCTCACCTGTGTGTGCCGTGAACACATGCGCTCACCTGTGTGTGCCGTGAACACATGCGCTCACCTGTGTGTGCCGTGAACACATGCGCTCACCTGTGTGCGCCGTGAACACATGCGCTCACCTGTGTGTGCCGAGAACACATGCGCTCACCTGTGTGTGCCGTGAACACATGCGCTCACCTGTGTGTGCCGTGAACACATGCGCTCACCTGTGTGTGCCGTGAACACATGCGCTCACCTGTGTGTGCCGTGAACACATGCGCTCACCTGTGTGTGCCGAGAACACATGCGCTCACCTGTGTGTGCCGTGAACACATGCACTCACCTGTGTGTGCCGAGATCACATGCGCTCACCTGTGTGTGCCGTGAACACATGCGCTCACCTGTGTGTGCCGAGAACTCATGCGCTCACCTGTGTGTGCCGTGAACACATGCGCTCACCTGTGTGTGCCGAGAACACATGCGCTCACCTGTGTGTGCCGAGAACACATGCGCTCACCTGTGTGTGCCGTGAACACATGCGCTCACCTGTGTGTGCCGAGAACACATGCGCTCACCTGTGTGCGCCGTGAACACATGCGCTCACCTGTGTGTGCCGAGATCACATGCGCTCACCTGTGTGTGCCGTGAACACATGCGCTCACCTGTGTGTGCCGAGAACACATGCGCTCACCTGTGTGTGCCGTGAACACATGCGCTCACCTGTGTGTGCCGAGAACACATGCGCTCACCTGTGTGTGCCGTGAACACATGCGCTCACCTGTGTGTGCCGAGATCACATGCGCTCACCTGTGTGTGCCGTGAACACATGCGCTCACCTGTGTGTGCCGAGAACACATGCGCTCACCTGTGTGTGACGAGAACACATGCGCTCACCTGTGTGTGCCGTGAACACATGCGCTCACCTGTGTGTGCCGTGAACACATGCGCTCACCTGTGTGTGCCGTGAACACATGCGCTCACCTGTGTGTGCCGAGATCACATGCGCTCACCTGTGTGTGCCGTGAACACATGCGCTCACCTGTGTGCGCCGAGAACACATGCGCTCACCTGTGTGTGCCGAGAACACATGCGCTCACCTGTGTGTGCCGTGAACACATGCGCTCACCTGTGTGTGCCGAGAACACATGCACTCACCTGTGTGTGCCGTGAACACATGCGCTCACCTGTGTGTGCCGTGAACACATGCGCTCACCTGTGTGTGCCGAGAACACATGCGCTCACCTGTGTGTGCCGAGAACACATGCGCTCACCTGTGTGTGCCGAGAATACATGCGCTCACCTGTGTGTGCCGTGAACACATGCGCTCACCTGTGTGTGCCGAGAACACATGCCCTCACCTGTGTGCGCTGTGAACACATGCGCTCACCTGTGTGTGCCGAGAACACATGCGCTCACCTGTGTGTGCCGAGAACACATGCGCTCACCTGTGTGTGCCGTGAACACATGCGCTCACCTGTGTGTGCCGAGAACACATGAGCTCACCTGTGTGTGCCGAGAACACATGCGCTCACCTGTGTGTGCCGTGAACACATGCGCTCACCTGTGTGCGCCGTGAACACATGCGCTCACCTGTGTGTGCCGTGAACACATGCGCTCACCTGTGTGTGCCGTGAACACATGCGCTCACCTGTGTGTGCTGTGAACATATGCGCTCACCTGTGTGTGCCGTGAACACATGCGCTCACCTG